CTCAAGAGCCTCATTGCTCCAACTCATCCAACCATTCAATGAGCAGCTCTCCCTGGGGCTCTCTCTGGGGTTACACCCACAAGTCAGTAGCTGCCTGTCACACACCAGCCTTGTCCAGGCTCCCATTTTCTGCCCTCTCCTTTCTGATGCTGTTCTGTTGCAGAAGATCAGCACTGGGATTCCCCTTCCTCCTGCCCAGGTGCCTCCCAGCCGCCTCCCCATGAAGCAGAAGCCAGGTAACCCCTGGGCCCTCGGTGGTTGAAGCTGTGCCCAAACCCTGCTCTTTAGGGGGCACAAGGAGCTGGTGGTGCTGACTGCAGGGCTGTTCCCCTGCCTTTGTGCTGTTCTGCAGATCCCCCTGGGGAAGAAAATGCCTCTGTCAATGATGCCAGTGCCCACATGGACTCTAAGGTGAGGTGTTCCATAAGCTGAAGCTGGCACAGCCTCAGGAGACCAGGGCTGGGAAGAGTGCAAGATTCCTGCCCAGAATTCCTGAGCTGCTCCCAAATCACTGGGGAAAAGCCTCCTTCCTCTGACCACTTTTCCATTCTAAAGAGAGGCTCTCACGTGGTCTTTCCTCCCAGTTTGTGACCATCCCACTTTGTGACACAGCCCAAGGCTGACCTTTTGCCACCCTCCGAGGCACCAGGAGCAGCAAATGCATCAGAGTTCTTGTGCACATGCTTTACAGCCCACTTTGCAAGAGGCAGTTGTCTTTGAACACCTTGCTGTCCCTTCCCCTCTCTCCCTGTGTCCCATTTTCTGTCCCTATCAGTCTGGATAGCACAGTTCCTTCAAATTTGCCCTGTTGGGTAATGTCCTCTGAGGTACTTCCATGCCATTGCCAGCCCCTGCATGTGATGGTCCTGGAACGACTCCTGTGGCCCTCTGGGGACACCACCTCTGTCCCTCAGCTGCAGGTCAGCTCTGCCACACCTGTTTTTGGGGCTTTTGGGGTAATTGTTTCAGGTGTAGCTCAGCCAGAAGGTAGCACAACAGAGGGATGTGGCTGCTCCTCTCCAGCTGGCTGGAGAAATTGGGGCCCAGCTCATATAATTTTGTGTTGAGGAGGTACCTGTAAAATCAGAACCAAAACCAGAATTCCTGACTCACAGGAGGAACATTTGATCCCATGCTTTGAAGCCAGAGTTCCCCCTTTGAAATTCAGGTCTGCATTTTGATGCTGTTCTGCTGCGACATGGCAGCACAGAGATGAGGGACTGTGCCTGTGTCACCTCTCTTGGCATGAGAGCAGATATTGTCAGTCGGGTTTGTTAGTCAGTTGGGGTTCTTCTTAGTCCATGAGCTTCATAGTCAGTCTGGGTTCTTCCCCCAGAGGGTGCTGGCACTGCCCAGGCTGCCCAGGGAATGGGCACGGCCCCGAGGCTGCCAGAGCTCCAGGAGCCTTTGGGCAGCGCTGCCAGGGGTGCCCAGGGTGGGGTTGCTGGGGGGGCTGGGCAGGGCAGGGGCTGGGCTGGGGGATCCTGGGGGTCCCTCCAGCTCAGGACGCTCTGATTCTCCACCCTGACCGAGCCCATCTCCCCGCAGGTCCCGCCGAGGCGCGGGGAGGCCCCCGCGGGCGCAGACAGGCCGGCGGTGCTGCGGCTGCGCTGCGAGTGCTCGCTGGTGCTGCGGGCGGGCGAGGCCCCGGCCCTGCCGGCCCTGCGGGCCCTGCTGCGGGACAGGCTGGCTCAGCAGGCACAGCGGGGCGCGCTCAGGTACGGGGCTGTGGGGTGGGATGGGCCAGCAGCCATTCCCCTCAGGACACGGGCATCCAGCTGCCTCTGGGCTCCTGGGAACGTTTATCTGGGGCCAAAAGCAGCAAAGATGGAAGCACACAGTCTGCCCAGAGGGCAAACCTCACCGTGGGCTTTGGGTGGGGCAACAACGTGATCCCCGTGGGGAAGCACATGCTCTTCCTTTTGTAATCCCCTCCCAGTACATCAAGGGCTCAGGGAGGGCTGCAGAGGGACTTACGACAAAGGCATGGAGTGACAGGACAAGGGGGAATGGCTTCAAACTGACAGGAGGCAGGGTTGGATGGGATATTAGGAAGAAATTCTTTAATATAAGAGTGGTGAGGCCCTGGCACAGAGATTGTGGATTCCTCATCACTTGAACTGTTTAAGGCCAGATTGGATGGAGCTTGGAGCAACCTGGTATAGTGAAAGATTTTCTGTCCATGGCAGGAGGTTGAAACTAAATTATCTTTAAGGCCCTTCCAAGGAAAACCGTTCTACAACTCTGTGATTCTATGGGCCTTGGAAGCCTAAAGGATCTTTCCTAGGAAATTGTGCCATGGTCAAGAAAAAGGGAGGAGAGAAGCAAAAACTGTGTAGATGCAGCTGCCACAGATTGGGTTTTGTCCCACTCAGCTCAGCCTTTGCAGTAACAAGGATCAATGCAGAACAAGCTGGCACTCAGGCAGAAGATCCTGGGGTGAGGTCTTGCTGATTGTGATACCCCTTGGGACACACAGTGCCATCAGGAGAGTTTAGAATCTTCCCCTCAAGTTTGTGTGGGAGGAGGTGACAGTGTCACTCCCCACAGTGCCGTTTCTGCCTGCTGAGCATGTGGGGTGGCCCCATGTCACTGTGCAAGGGGACAAGCTCAGAACTGGCCTGCAAAGGGGACTGTGAAGACTGAGGTTGGCAGAGGGCTGGGCTGACCTCCAAGTTTGGCTTTAAATGAAATTATTTGCTTGGCATTAATGAACCCTTGCAGCTACAGGCTCCTGGATGGCACAGAGCTGGGGACAGTGTTGGGACAGGAAGACCTGGGGAAGGTGTGGCAGCAGCTGATGGAGGGCAAGCTGATACTCTGTTGCCAGGTTCGTAGGCTGGGACAAGGTCTCTGCTGGGCTGGGCTCCCCAGTCTCTGCTTTGCTTTGCAACCTCCATGCTGGCTTTTTCCTGCAGGATTCAGACTCCCACTCGGGCAGACCTGTTCTGTACCAGATGCTGGCTCAGCACTCTTACCTGCCACAGGGACCAGGGGACCTGGAGTTCAGCAAGGGAGATGTGCTGGATATCCTCTCTGAAGGTAGCTCTCCAGTCCTGCTGCTGGGCCAGGCTTTTGGAGTCTGCTCTGGGGAGCATGGGGAAAATGTGGCCTCTCCAGTGCTGTCTCAGGTTCATACTCTCAGGAGTTACAGGCTTGGAACGGGTTTTTCCCAGAGTTAAATTCCAGGCATGAAAACTCTCACTAACCCCACTCATATGGGCCAGGGCTCATTCCTGCTCCTGTATGTTTTCCAGTGAATGAAGACTGGCTGGAAGGACGATGCAATGGCAAGACTGGCATCTTCCCCAAATGCTTTGCCACCCAGACCAGCTGTGATGTTGCCTTCCTATAGCAAACAGGAGCCTTTTCCTGCCTGGCTGCACCCCCAGGGGTGGGAGACACTCATCCCAGCTCATTTGGGCCCCAGCCAGCACAGCCAGGAGCTCTACTGTGCCTGGACAGGGGATATCTCCCACTCAGATCCATGGGGTCAGTTCCAGCAGTGATCCCATTTCCCACAGCCTGTTCCCTGACCTGGCATTTCTTACCTTGTGCTTTCACTGCCAAAGATGTTTCTGTGAAGAGCAGAGAGCAGAGAGAGGGCACTGGAGTTTGGCTGTAGGAATTGTCCATGTGGAGCTCAGGCTGCTGGGTGGAAAGAGGTTCCCCTGGGTGGGAGGAGATTCCCCTGAGTGGGAGGAGGTTCCCCTGGGTGGGAGGAGATTCCCCTGAGTGGGAGGAAGTTCCCCCGAGAGGGAGGAGGTTCCTCTGGGTGGAAAGAGGGTCCCCTGGGTGGGAGGAGGCTCCCCTGAGAGGGAGGAGGTTCCCCTGGGTGGGAGGAGGTTCCCCTGGGTGAGAGTCTTCATCCCTCTCCCTATTGCTCGTGTTGAGGCTGGGAAGCTGAGCCTCACTCCCCAAGCCAAGGGTGGCTGGCTGGGAGCAGGGGGCAGAGCCCTGTTCCCCAGGCTCTCGGGTCACATAACCTTATCTCCACCAGCCAGAGATGCTGCTCTTTCAAAAGGCTTTTGGAACCAGTTTGCAGTGGGATTAATGGGATAACACCATGAGTTAGGACCCTATCTTCCATAGCACACAGCTATGGACCTGACCATTCCTTCACCAGGTGCCTTGGGCACTTTTCTTAAGCCCTAAGGCCTGGATGAGATCTTGGAGCACAGAGAAAATAGGCACTTGTGGAAATCTCCACTGCTCAGAGCAGCTCTGGGTTGTGGGAGAGCCCTGGAGAAAGGGCTGGCTGGGAAGTGCAGTGCTGGGCTGGTGCTGCAAAGGTGAAAGCCCTGTCCAATTCCTGCAACTGGGCTGGGCTGATCTAAATAAAACACTCAAGTGCCTGGAGCTGGAACCTGTTCTGGATTTGGTGTCTTGACAAAACTTGGCAATGTAACTTGAATATAAAATAAACCCTGAGCCAGAGATGGCAACTCTTAAATCAACTTCCACTTGTGTTTTTCTGCTGAGATATGCCAGTAAGTATTTTTAACAACAGCTGACAGTGTCTTTGGGAAGAGATTCTGTCACATACTACAAAAATATTGCGCATCTTGCACAGGGCAGGACACAGATGATGTCATCCCTCTGCTCAGAGTTAGGTGCCACCACCGCTCTCCATTGCCAGTTGCCTCCCAGGACTGTTGGAAGAGTAGCCCAGCAGGACTGGGAATGCCAAGGAAACTGTGCTAGGCTGAGCAGTGACATTCATATTTGAAAAACAAAACTGATTTTATTTCTCATTTGAATTTTTTTAGCTTCATGCAGCCAGCAAGTCTCAATCAGCTTTTGGCAGTCAGATTAAAGGAGTCTTCCTCTTGGAGAGAGATCAAGTCACCTTCCATATTCACAGAGATGACCCAGTCAGATCCCCTGAGTAATGGAGATGGGTCTAATGCCTTCATCCTTCTCCACTTTCCACCTCTTCTGCACCACTTCCCTGCCTGGTTTAGAAGGCAGGATGCCTAGGATGCCTGTAGTTAGGAGGCTGGGAGCTACTTTGTTTTCCAGAAGCAGTGCAGGAAAGCAGCCACCAGGCCTGCCACGATGGCCAGCACGAGGAAGGAGACGGCCCCTGCCCACAGGCCGGGCTGGTGGCCCTTGACCTGCTGCAGAGCCTCAGCAGGGATCATGTTGGTCAAGTTCAGCATGAAGCCCAGTGTCCACCCGATGTCTGTGTTTGCTGCCTGCAGGGAGACAGCACAGGGCATCATCCAAAAGCACCTCTGCCAGGCACCAGCAGCTTGTGTGAGGGGCTGGGGGGCATCTGTCCCGTGAGCTGTCCCAGCTGTCTCACGTGGGGACCAGGCTGTGATGAACCTGATCTTGCCAGCAGCACTTGCACAAAGAGCTTTCCTGCCCCCCCTCCCCCAGGGGTAAGGGACAGCTGAACATGGATGACTGCCCTGATCCAGGTGTGCCTCTGTGACCTGCACGTGATTTTGGATCTGGGGTTTCCTCTGTTGCCATAATCCTTCTAATTTGGCTGCAGAGTAAGATCAGAAAAGACCTTTCAGATCATGGAGTCCAGCCATCAGCCCAGCACCGCCACCATGCTCATCACTAAGCTGTGTCCTCATCCACATGCTGTTTGTGCCACATCCACATGTTGTTTGAACACTTCCTGGGATGGTGACTCCACCAGTGCTCTGGGCAGCCTGTTACAAAGCCTGACCCTTTCCATTTTCATTTCCATGAAAAAACACCATTCCTAGTACCTAACTAAGCTTCCCCTGGCAAAATCTGAGGCTGTCTCCTCTCATCCTGGAAATATTCTGGTCAGGCCATACTCTGGTTCAAAGTGGTCATGGGGCCACCATCACCTTTCTGATAACAACATCAGAGACCAAAGTGGCCAAATCTTCTGGTTTTCCCTGACCCCCCTAAAATCAGTTACATTGACAGCAGGGAAAGTGAGACATGAGCTGGGTCAGAGGTTTGGGCATGGCTAAGAGACAGCAAAGCTCTCCTGGGACCCCTGGGGAGCAGCCGTGAAACAGGGACACATCTCTGGCACAGAGGACTCCAGAGATGCTGCTCCTGAGCATGTCCACCCTCTCCTGCTGCCCACAGGTGTTTACCTGCCTGCTGAAGTGGATGTTGCTCCAGGTGTGCTCATTGAACTTGTAGCCATCGAGCAGCAGCGTCAGGATGTAAAAGGCCGCGGAGCAGTAGGTGTGCAGGTACTTCAAATCCTTTGGGAAGCTCTGCACCAGCTGTGAGGCCATCAGGGACAGAGTGCAACAGGGAAAGAAAGAGAGGCTCAGAAACCCTCCCAAGCCCAGGGAACAGCACAGCTTGTACTCCAAGGACAGAGATTTGGGACAGGATAAGCACAAGGCTCCTGGCTGCCCTTCACAGGGCTCTCACCTCTGTCCAGTTCCTCCGGCAGAAAGAATGGACTGTGGTGTTGACTTCACGCAGAGACTGCTGGCGGGTCAGGTTTAGGAAGCTGAAGGTGTAGTAGAACCCAGCAAAGGCCTGGGGGCAAGGGAACATGGTGAAAAACAATTGCTTCCTCACCTGAGAAAAGACCCAGGGGCCCCTCTTGCCTGGGGAGAGAGTCTCAAGTAATTCCCAGGGTTCTGCATCGGGCAGCCCCTTGATGGTCTGCCAGAAAGTCTCAGAGCTGGCTCACAACCCAGGGGCTGTTCCTGCACTCTGAGCTGGCTCACACAGGCTCCCTCAGACAAGGTCTTCCCATTTCCCTCAGGAATGCTGGCACGTGGCAGGAGGCAGAAGCCACCTCTGAGCACACAAGAGGTTTGCAGATAGAGCCAGCTCCGAGGATCCCTCTCTCCCCAGCCCGTTCCACAATCAGTGGCAGAGCAGACACCCAGGCCCTGCCTTCACCCTCCCCCAGGCAGGGCACGGAGGCTGCTTACCAAGAACTGTCCCCGCACGGGGGGCTGATAGACCCCATTGAAGCCGCACGGCCCCTGCGCCCCGCAGCTGAAGTTGAAGAGTCTCCGCACGGCCGTGTCACACGCGGCTGGGTCCCCTGTCCCCGTCACCGTGAGGACAAGGCCAGGGCTGGCTGAGCTGGGCGCACGCACACAGGGGCTGTCGTAGAGCTCTGCCACGGTGATGTTCTCCTGGTACCCCTGGGGGTAGCAGGGGTGCTTGATCTGGCTACTCGAGCTCGCCTGGAGAGAGATGGAGCCATTAATGGGGCTGCAGTGCCACTGAGACCTTCCCACAGCCCATCCCAAAAGGCAGGACTACACCCCAGGAGGACTGCATGCACCCCACCTGGGAGCTCCCTGAGCAGCCCTGGCTCCTGCAGCGCTGGGCTCTGCCTCTGTCCCCAGGCAGCAGTGCAGGGACTGTGCTGGGAAACCTCTCTCTGGGCAGGAATGGAGCAAGGCCAAGAGCATGGTGACAGCAGAAAAACTACACATACAGCTGGGCTGGGGAAATTACAAAAAATGCCACTGCACGTCAAGATGTGGGGAGAAGGGAGCCCTGGCTGGCAACCACCACCACCTTCCACCCAAATGAGGCAATTTTTTGCTTCCCTAGATAAAACCCAAGCCTCTGCCAACTCCTGACTCTTGGCCCACAGGCACGCCCAGCGCTCCAGGGGGAGATGTGCCACAGCACTGGGAGATGGCTGAGCAGCCCCCGTGCCCCGTGGCACCTGGTGCAGAGCTGCCAGCAGCATCTTCAGGGCCTGGCTCTGCCCGTAGCACAGGTAGCTGTGGCTGTACAGGGAGTAGTTGGTGCCGTAGAGCCGGAAGAACACGGACGTGTTCCTGTCCTCCACGGGGACCCCGGGCTGGAAGGTGATCTGCGTCGAGGCACCGCCGAGGTCCAGAGCTCCCAGAACCTCGCTGTCCTGGGGATGCTCCCATTTCTCTGCAAACGAGAACTGGCCCAACACACAGCAAGGCTTAGCCTGAACTGCAGCACTCACACTCCCACTCCCTTCCCGCAAGGACTTGGGGGCCCCAGGGGCACCTTCCACCTGCTCCTGGCTCCCTGATTTACCCATGCCTGCCCACATCCTCCTCAACCCACGGACACTTCCACAGAGCACTCAGGCGTGGCCTCTTGGCTGCTGCACATCTGCTGGGATCCAGACACTTGGAGCAAGGAAAAAGGAACCCTGTACCCTGGAGGCCGATCCCGCTGCCAGATCCCTGGGACCCCAAAATCCACCCCTGTGTCAGCACATGAGAGCACAGGCTGAGCTGGACACAAAGATCCTGTTAATCCCATTAACGAGGTGGAATCTGCAGCCCACAACCACAGGGTACCTTTGCCTGCCTGACCAGTGCCCCAAAGCTCCATTCCTCCCTCCTCTGCAGGTAAGGAAAGCTGCTGCAGCTCAGACAGGGACGTTCTCCCCACCGGCCCTCCCCTGCCCTCTCCCCAGCTGCACCTTGACCAGTGTCTCCAGCAGGTAGTTGACAGTGACCCAGCCAAAGGAGCCCTCCTCGCTGCCCGTCAGGATCCGGGCTCCGCGGAAATCCACAGGGTACTCCCCAATGGCCTTGGACACCTCGGCCAAGACCTGCTCGGCCTTGCTGCTGTTCTCCTCCCTGCCAGCAAAGGCACAAACACCTCAGGTGCTGCACGCCCTGCCTGGCACCTCTGGCAGCCGGGCTGGCACTGAGAGGCCGCCGTGCCCTGCCAAGGAGCTGCTCCCGACATCTCTCCAGCACGGCCAGCGGCTCTCCCGGACACGCCGTGGCGCCGCGGGCAGGGCTGCTCTGCCCATGCCCACGGCCTGGCCGGGCAGCACCCCCGTGCCCGGGCCCTGTGCCCCGCTGCCAGCCCCGGCTCCCGCGCCGAGCGGGAAGGGCGGGAGGTGCCGGTACCTCAGCAGCCGCATGCCGGCCGTGGCCCCCAGGTACGCGGGGGTCTCCCGCTGCTGCTCGGCCGGGACGATCTTCATGGCCCTGTCCAGGCAAGGCTTCAGGCTGGCGCCAGCCCCCGCGGGGTTGTCTGCGTAGCTGGAGATGCCGTGTCCTGCCGCAGGGAACCGGTGATGGAGAGAGCCCAGCGCCGCCCCGCAGGGACGGCACAGCAGGGGAGATGTCCGCCCAGGAATCCCATAGGGCTTTTTTGTTGCTTGCCCCAGGTAGTCCCGACCCGTGCTCGGAGCTGTCCCTCCAGGCGGCAGCAGCTGTGGCACGGCCACTCGCCCCGGGAGCCGCAGGAGCTCCTGCTCCGGGCAGAGCGGGAGGGCTGCGGGCCTGCCCGGGGAGGCTGAGCGCACAGCTGATCCCGGGGGAGCCGAAGTGCTGGGCACGGCCAGTCCGTCCTGCAGGAGCTGGCGACAAACACAGCTGTTCCCCATTTCCCTGAGGGCACCTGGAGCTGATAGACACTCTGTGTGCCCTTGCACAGCCTCCCTATTTTCAGAGGCTGGCACTGGATCTGAGAACCTGGCATGGTCCTGCAGTTGGTAGGGCCAGGCTCTGGGGTGGAAATCTCACTGTTTATCTTCCCGGGAGCTTTGACTCAATAACTGCCATTAGCCCAAGCAGCCCTTGCGGTACACTTTGCCCTCGGCCTGACCTTTGCAGTTAACCAGTAACTGCCATGCCGCTGCTGCCGAGTGGGACGTGAGGGCAAGGTGAGCTCTGAGCCCTCTTCCCCTTGCCCAGGCACCTCTGCCCTGGCCTGCTGGCCTTCGCTAGCCCCCACCCGGCTCCATGTACCATTTATCTGCTCCTACATCTGCTCTCTAGGGTGGGCATTTCCTCCAGAGAGACTTGTCCTTGTGCCGAAGCCTGACACAGCAATAGGAATACACGCCCCTGTGGGTATTTAGAAATGCCCAATAGATAAATTAGCATTTATCACAGCTGGCATGAATCAGCTTTGGTGTGTGGAACAGCCATGCAGGGCAGCACCAAGGCTGGCCATGGAGAGGGAGGGCAGCCCCCAGCACTCACCGGACACAGAGCAGGCCTCCACCTGGGACACGATGCCCGTGCCGTTCTCCTTGTCCGCGCGCCACCGGTAGATGTAGAGGGACGTGTGTGTGGAGCCAGCGTCAAACACCAGGCCATGCTGGGGAGCAGAGGGGACATGGGGTGTCAGGGGAGCAGACCAGCGTCACCTGCTGCAGAGTGAGGGAGAGAAGCTCCAGGAGAGCCAAAGGAGTTCCTGCTGGGCAGGGGAGCCTAGAATGGCCAAACAAGACTGGTGTTCACCAGGACAGAAAAAGTCTGGTGGCATTGCAGTTACCAGCTGTGTTGGGGACAAGGATCCTTCCCAAGCCCCTGGGGCTGGCAGTGCTTTGGGATGAAAAAGCTGCATGTGCTGTGGGGCCAGGCACAGTGACCAAATTCAGCTAGACCCGCTCCAGTCTGTGCAGGGCATTGTCCCTATGTTGGTGACAAAGCACAGCCTGCCTGAAACCCAGGCAAAACCCAACACCCAGCGGTAGCCAGCAGCCAAATGAGAGCTGTGCTTCTCCTGAGGACCCTACCTTGGTGCTGGGGGGCAGAAGCACATCCTTCACATTCACCACGCTCAGAATGAGGGCGATGACGCTGCAGACACAGGTGGCTGCCAGGAGACCGGCAATGGCCTTGGCTTTGGAGCCCATTCCTCCTCCAACCTGCAGGGACAGCCCCAGCCCCCAGCTCACACCTCATGCATGGCTATGGGACTTTCCCTTCCCAGCAATGAAGCCATTCTCTGGTACATGGCTGCTCTTAGCATGGAAGAGGATATTATCCATGGGCTCCTCTGGACCCATCCCAGTGGGGCTGCTGGCAGCCTCAAGGCTGGGACACTCTGCCATTCTGAGCACTCCCTCCTTGGCGGATTTTCAGTACAACTTGTTCAGCCCTGCCTTCTCACCTGCAGCCCCTCAGGTCCCTCTGTGCCCAGCCCTGCTCAAGCTGTTCCCTGGCTGGCAATCAGCACCTTCCTTCACAGCAGCATCACTGGGGGAAGCCCAGCCGTGGCTAGCTGGAGTTCCAAGCTGGGAGCAGGATCGTGGCCTGGCAGGGGAGCCAGTGTGACCATCCTCTCTGGGGTGCAGAGCCACATCCCTCCAGCACCCACATGCTGCCACCTCAAAACCCATCCCACAACACTTGGGACCAGGTCCCATCTGTTGCCCAGCAGGCCCAGATTGTCCCTGAGAGAGTCCTCTCTGCTTCAGGCAGGGAAACAGCACCTCCAGCTGTGTTTCTCCTGCCTGGCCCAGCTCTTACTGATGCCACAGCATGTAAGAGATGCACAGGGACAGTGTCCATGCCTGCTGTGATCCCCACACCTCTCCTGCAGCCCCAAGGGCAGGCAGGAGAGCAGAGGCAGAAGCTCCTGCTGATCTGGGCACACAGCCAGGCTGGAATGCCCACAGCACTGCCCTTGGAGACTGGAGCACTTCCCACTTGTCCATCCAGAGCTCAGCTCCCAGCAGAAACAGCCCCCAGGTACTCCTAAGGAATTGTAGCAAAGCAAAGAGTCTGGTTCTCTGTGACAGCCTCTGCACAGGGCAGCTGAGATATCCATGTGCTCAGCACCTCACAGCTGCTCCAGATGTGCTTTTTGCAATGCACAGCTCTCCCTCCTCCTCCTGCACTGCCCTGCCTGTTGCCTTGAGCCACACAGGCAGGATGCCTGCTGCATCCTGCTGAGGCTGACCTTGCTTCACACTCCAGCTATAACCTGCGGGTGGCCTGAGAGCCCTGGGTACCAGAGGCATGGTTTAACCCCACCAGTGCCTTGGGTGGGACCTGGAGCTGTCACTTGGCTACACAATTCTCCTGTGAGTGCATAAAGTCCCTGAGAAATTCCCCTGCCCTTTTCCCAGGCCAGTGGAGAGAAAAGACCTTTGGCAAGTTCAAAGGAGATGCTGATTCCTGTTTTGGAGTCAGCATCTCTGGCAATGAGCAAGGGTGACCAATCTCCTGCATGGCATGAGATGCACAACAATGAACAGCAGCTGTTCTTTGGGCCTATGGGATATGGGGCCACCAAAATCCCTTATCAGACCTTGTCCTATAGCCAGGAGCCTTCCCTCTACAATGGCTATGAAGAGATTGTATGGAATCCTCTGATAAATCCTTCTCATAGAAATGGGGAATCATTAAGGACCTCTTTGAGATATTAAAGTGGTTATCGATTCAAAGTTATCTCAGACTCAAATCATTAACCCAGCACCACCAAGAAAACCACTTAATTATGTCCCCAGTTGTCATATCTGCAGTCCCAGCAGCCCTGCTGGGGTTTGCCCCATTATAACTGTGCCGTTGGGATGTGATTCATCTGCTCCAGGTAGCAAACAAAGCAATGGGAAAAGTCTGCAGCCCAGCCTACATCCTGAAAAGCTCTGTCCCACGCACTGTGAAATGGAAGGACACGAATTGGTGACAAATTGCACTGTGCTGAATGCAGGAGAGGATGGGAAATGGGCTCCTCCTGCTCTGCTAGGGACTGATTCCCGTTCTGACTGGACAGGGGGTAACATCCAAAGGCAGCACAGAGCCAGCTCTCCCAGGCAGGAGAACAGGGCACAGAAAGAGAGCCAAGTGGGTGGGAAACAATGTGAGAAGCTGTTTGATCTGTCCAGGCTTTCTGTGGCATCCTGGGGCTGGGCAGCTCCAGTACCTGCTACCATCCATGCAGGATCAGGAGCAGCAGGACGGGAGAGTGGTGCTGATGCCTCCAGAGCTGCAGAGGAGGCACGATGCTGCACAGTGCCTGCCCATTTCCAGATGTGCAAAGTTTCCAGCTGTGCCCAGCAGCTGGAGCAGGGCTGCACTTGATGTGTAGGGCTGGCCATGATGACAAGCTTGACAAACACCTGTGGGACATCTCTCACTTGCAGCATCCCTTGTGCACAGGGAGCAGGGCCTCAAAAATTGGGGCAAAAGGCTCAGAGCCACTGCTGGATCTAAACTGCCTGTTGCTCAGGACAATGGGGGAGCTGGCTTCCCACTGGGCACATTTGGGATTTGAAAGCAGAAAACGCTCTGAAGGTTCTAAGAGTGTGACTGTGGATGCCAGGAGCATCCCTGCCAGGCAGAGCAGTTCCCTGCATCCCACCTCCCACCCGCGCTGGGGCTTGGCAGTGCCCTCCGTGCCTGGTCTCTGTGCCCTCCGTGTCCCTCTGCCCCCCGCACCTGGGAACCTCGTGCGGCGAGCGGCCGCCCCGGCCCCCTCGCCCTCCCGCACCGCCCCACGGAGCGCGTTTGCCCCAGCACCGCCCCCGCTGCTGCCCGGGCCCGCTCCCAGCCCAGCTCCATGGAGGGGCAGCAGCCCCGGGCCCGGCTCCCCCCGTGCCTGCCCCGGCTCACCCCGCCGGCTCCGGCCGCCGCTCCGGCCCCGCCGCCTCGGCCCGGGCTCAGCGCGCACCTGGGGCCGGGAGCCCGCTCCTGGGACAAAGGCTGCCTCCCGGCGTGGCCCTCCCCTTGGCCCCGCACCAGCAACCTGCCCAGGAGAGCGCTTGTCCGGGAGGCAGCGGGGCCGGGGCTGGAGAGCCGGGGTGATAAGAGCATCCGGGATTAACCACTTCGCTGCTGGAGGAGCGGCACGGCCGGGCGCGCTCCGCCCGGGGCCGGGGGGGCTGCGCTGCCCGCGGAGATCGGCGAGGGGACAGAGAGATCCCGGGCAGCCCCCGGAGCCTGCGAGCGCCTGGCGCCGGAGGCAGCAGCTGAGCTCCGGGAGCCTCAGACACCCCTGCCAGACCGGCGGCACAAACGCCGTGAGGGGCCGAGCCTGCCCTGTCACCCTGCTGTCACCCGGCTCTGCGGGACCCCTGCAAGCCAGGCTGGCAGCGGGGCTCGGGACAGAAACAGGAAGGACCTGGCAGGTGAAGAGCTGTCCCCACAGTCATCCGCGTGGGACCCATCCCCACGGGCAGGCACCGAGCTGTCCCCACGGTTAGGGAGCCACCCCCATTGCCAAGGTCTGCTCTGTCCCCATGGCCAGCACCTGTCCATGGCCAGAGTCCCGTGGCTTTGGGGCAGTGCGGGCAGGGAGTGGGCAGGGAACAGGCAGAGTGCGGGAGCGTGGTGCAGGCAGGGGGGAGGCAGAGTAAGGGAGGGAGTGGCAGGGTACAAGGAGGGGACAGGCAGAGGGACAGACAGGGCAAAGCCAGGGGTACAGGCAGGGAGCAGGCAGAGGGACAGGCAGGGAGCAGGCAGGGAGCAGGCAGGAGGACAGGCAGGGACAGGCAAGGAGCAGGCAGAGGGACAGGGAGGGAGCAGGCGGGCAGGGACAGGCAGGCCGGGGCCGGTGTCCGGTGCGGGCAGCCGCAGCCCCGAGCTCTCCGCTCTTTCCGCCCGCGGCAGCGCCCAGAGCCCGCCCCGGCCGGGGCCGGACCCGGACGTCCGAGAGCGGCTCGGCTTTGCTTTCGCTTCGCTCTGCTCCGCCGGGGCGGCGTGGGCCCGGGGCCGGCGGGGAGCGGGCCGTGCCCCGATCGCCGCCCCACCGAGGGACGGAGAGGGCTCCGGGCACAGGTACGGGACGGTCGGACCGCGGCAGGCGGGAGCTTCGCCCCTGCCCCTTCCCGGCGGCTCGGGGCCAGACAAGTTCATAGTGTCCCCATTGGCCCAGCTCGTGTCCCAGGGGGTCACTTAGGGGGTGGGGGGGACCACGAGCTACAGGGAGAAGGGGATCCCCGGAGAGGTTGGAGGCTCGGGGCAGAGACAGGCGGCTTGGGGCTCCTCGGGCAAAGTCCCTTCCTCCTCGCAGACCTTCCCAAAGATCCCCCGTCCCCCTTCCCAAAGGTCCTCCCAAATGAGTATCCCTCACGCACATCCTCCTCCCAAAGCCCATCCCGCCCCGCAGACCCGCCTCCCAAAGACCATCCCTCCCCCCAAACCCTCCTCCCAAAGACCATCCCTCCCCCCAAACCCTGCTCCCAAAGACCATCCCTCCCCTCAAAGATCCTCCCAAAGACCATCCCTCCCCCCAAACTCTCCTCCCTCCCCACACACCCTCCTCCCAAAAGCCGCCCCTGCCCACAGCCCCTCTCTGCAGACCCTCCTCCTAGAGACCACGCCTCCTCGCAAACCTCCCAAAGACCATCCCTCGCCAGTGACCCCTCCCCAATCCATCCCTTCCTGCAGACCTCCCCAGAGCCCATCGATGTCGCCGCGCCTGCTCAGGGCGGTGGGCTGGGGCTGGGCGGCCGTGCTGGCCCTGCTGACCGTGGTCGTCTTCGTCCTGGTCCTGCTCCCGGCAAAGGATGCTGTCCTTCCTACCAGAATCAAAGTAGGTGTCCAGTGAGACCTGGGGGAGCCTGCGAATCCCACCAACCCCTTTCTATCTCGAATTCCTCCATCAGCCCTGCGTTCCTCTCAGCTTGCAAGTTTCCCCATGATCAGCCCAGTTTTTCAGGACTCAGCCTCATCAAGGTGGCACTGAGCAGATCAGCCTCCCCCAAACCACAGTCCTGGCTGCTTGGTAAAGGTGGGAGAGAGAAGTGCAGCCTTCTCTCTGCAGCTGCTCCATCTGCCACCCCAGTCACTCTCTTCCCTGTTTCAGACATCCAGACCACCTGTGGGGATCTCACCTCTCTTCCCTACTGCTTTCTGCGGCTGGTCTGCTAAAAAATGCCAGGTTTTGTCAGATTTGCTAAAGGCCTGG